TTGCTTGAAACTTTAAATATATATGAGGTGTCACAAGTAAGATATGCAGGTCAAGTTTCATAACCCTGTATTGCATTTTGACAAAGTTATGCCCCTTTTTAAGTCTTCAAGTTTACATACAATCAATACTAGACAATGTGTTGTATCCGCTCTATAAATTCTATACTAATGGAAGGATTTTCTTCAAACTTGACTCAAATGTTCACCCCAACTGGGCAATATGCAGAACCCATCATACCCTTGTGCCAGCTTAAGGTCAAGGCCAGACTTGACGGTTAAAAATTGACTTAGAAAATGTTCTGAAATTTTAACATGTGCTTGAATATTTCTAAAACTAGAACAGATAATCATTTGAAACTTCAAATATATACAAAGTGTCGCATTAGTAAAATATGCAGGTCAAGTTTCATAACTAAAAAAAAAGGTGGGGGGATAACTTTGTATTGTATTTTGACAAAGTTGAGTCCATTTCTTGTGTCGCCTCAACGGAGTAGTGGCGACATACAGGGATCACTTCTCCGTCGTCTGTCTGTCCGTCTGTCTGTCCATCTGTCCGTCCGTCACAAAATTTGTCCGGATTACTCATAAACTACTGGTGCAATTTCATCCAAACTTTACAGGAATGATCAGTACCAAGTCTAGTTGTGCATATTGTCAGCATTTTCCGGTTCAATGATTTTTAGCTCGACTTTTTTTTTTTTTTTTTTTTTGAAAAAAAAAGTAGAGGTATTGCTATAGTTGCCGTTGCCTTTGCCGTCCGCAAACTTGTACCTGGATCATAACTTTTTTATTTCTTGGTGTATTGTCTTCATACTTGGCCACAACAACCCTTGGGACAAGACCTTTCAGTAGACCACACTTACCTTGACCTTCATCCAAAAATGACCTTGACCTTCAAGGTTAAAAGTCCAAATTTTGCTTGTTCATACTGTTATTGGCTGTAACTTTGTTATTTCTAAATGGATTGTCTTCAAACTTGAACATAATAATCTTCAAGGATAACCCTTAAAAATAACCAGACAGACCTTGACCTTCACTCATTAATGACCTTGACTTTGAAGTTCAAATTATTGAAATTTTCATTGTTTTGGCTGTAACTGGCTGTAACTTTGCTATTATTGAAGGGATCAACTTCAAATTATAACAGAACATACTTAAGGACAAGACCTTGTTGTTTATCAAACACTTGTATATACACACACACACACCAATAAATATATAATGTCATTTAATGCACAAATCTGAAAAAATTCAGTAATTTAACCTTCAAGGTCAAGGTCATTAAAGAGCCCAAGTGTATATATATATATATATCATCATCATCATCATCAACAACAACAGGTGTCACCACCACCTGTCACCGCCACCACGAGTCACCACCACCACATGTCACCACCACCACGTGACTCCACCACGTGACTCCACCATGTGTATCTATTTATAGATTTTTCTATTTATAGAATTGCGTGTTTCTATTTAAAATATATAGACAAAACTAATGTGACAAGATAGACCAATTAATTTTATAAAAAGGAAACGTTAAGATTTTGTTCAAACATTTCTTTGTTTGCTTTTAGAGAAAGTAAAAAGTCGAGCGTTGCCTCGCCCGGCGGTGGCTCTTGTTGAAAGAATTATGGCCCTTTAATAATTTTTATTTTTAAAGTTTGTCTACTTCTCTTATACCACTAATGCAATTTCAATGAAACTTTACAGGATTGATCTGTAGCTCAAGTCCTTGCGTATATTGCACGGGTTTTCGGGTTGAATGATTTTTTGGCCGAGTTATGGCCCTTTGATAAAAAGGTGTTTTTTTCTGTGTGTTGCCAGATACACAAAAGATTGTCCGGACTACTCCTCATAAACTACTGGTGCAATTTTATCAAAACTTTACAGGAATGATCAGTACCAAGTCTAGTTGTGCACTGTCCCTCTGTCTGTCCGTCTGTCACAAAACTTGTCCACAAAACATGAAATTGGCCATCATGAGGCGACACATGTGATCACTGATAGCTCTTGTTATGTCTTTAAATTTATTTACTATAATATTTCTTAAACCAGAACAGATATTTACTTGAAACTTAAAATTGATATGAATGGTTACAAGCAAGCTCAGATGACGAAAATTCTACAATTCCATTGAATTATGAAACAAGTTATGCCCCTTTTAGGCTTAGAAAATGTTCTGATATAATCATTGATACTTAAATGTTTCTGAAACTTAAGAACAGATATTCACTTGAAACTTTATAATATATGAAGGGTCACAATTAAGTAAGCTCTGAAGCTCAGTATTCAAAGTTTTTCCACCCTTCATTACATTTTGACATAATTATGCTATTTTTTTTAACTTCACTGCTTTTGTTTGTTTTAGTACATTGGGAAAATGAAAGGTTATTTTGTAACTGTTTCAAACATGATTTGACAATATATATTTATACAATTACCTGTACAATTTGTCTTTTTTCACCAGAGATAATTTCTTTTTATGTATATTTATTTGTGCCACTAAAGTTATTCCCTTAACCACCTTTCCAAGTCCATATGTTTATTTATTCTGAAAAATAAAATAAATGTAAAAAAACTGAAAAATTAAAGTATATTCAAAGACATTTAACATTTTTTGGAGTAAAAAAGAGAGAGAGAGAGAAAATTTAAAGTATATTCAAAAACATTTAACATTATTTTGAGTAAATTAAAATAGAGAGAGAAAAAAAACAACAAAGAAAAAGTCAGAGAGAAAATATGTACACAAACATACATTCACTCATTCAAAAGATACTTGCTTACCTGCATACATACAAACACAAAAACAGAAACAAAAAAAGGAACATTAGCGAACTAGTTTCTATTAATTTTCTAATGTTTTATGGTTTTGAATTTATTTTTGATCACAAAAAGATTTTAAAAATATCGAAAATTGGTCCAATTTTGGTATATTATTTTAAGGATAAAATATTTCATATGTATGATGATATAATTTACTGAAGTTTACCGGAAGGGCGGCATATTACAATCGCACCGTCTGTCTGTGCATTCCCACTTCATTCGTGTCCGGACGGTAACTCTGTCATACATTGAGGGATTTTGAAAATGCTTGGCACAAATGTCTACCACATCAAGACGATGTGTCGCGTTCAAGAATTACGTCCCTACCTCAAAGGTCAAGGTCACACTAACATTTTGAAGTTTAACATTATTGCAATTATAGTTAATAGGTACACACATTTGTGTCCGGACTGTAACTTTGTCATGCATAGAAGGATTGTAGAATCATATCCCTTCCTCGAAGTTCAAGGCCTCACTTACATTTTGAAGTTTCACTTTATCACAATATTATTGAGTTTTATAGGTACACATATTTGTGTCCGGACTGTAACGAAGGATTTTAGAATAACTTGTCATAAATGTCTACCTTATCAAGACAATCAAGATGACATTTTGTGTGTAAAACTCATGTTCCTACCTCCAAGATCAAGGTCACTCTTAATAGTTTCAAGGTACAGTGGAACCTGTCTAATCCGAACTCGTCCGGACCAGAAGAAAAGTTCGGATTAGAAAGGTTTCCGGATTAGAAGTTTTTTTTTACATGTTTGTTCATGTTATTGGCAGAATAGTTTAAGGAAAGAAAACTGGAATGCATTTGAAATTGCAATATCAATATTTTATTTTTGCAATCTCTTATCGTTCATTAGACATAAGAATTATGTTTATTAAACATGTGAATACAAAAATAAATAAATAAAAATAGATAAATAAGCAAAAATATAATATCCTCAAGGGTAAGTTAATCTAGGATGTTAAACAGAAGGCTGAGACATAATTAAATATTCGTACCAGCATTTGTCAATTGTTGTTTACTCTTATCCGATTCAGTGATTATCCGAATTCACTGACAGTTTCCATTAATTTCCATTACCTAATCACATGTCATTAAATTTGTTACAAAAGATTAAAAGATATTTCTGTTGCATCATATCTAAATATTTATTGAAGGTGGCGAAAACAATCAATTAAGCAATTAAAGTAGATATCAAGGCAAGCTAAGTGTAATTTTCACACCTTCGCAGATAATACGTTTCACCCATTAATCAAGAGAAATTACTCTTATCAGTTTGGTGTATGTTTACACCTGCAAGATGTGCGATTTTTTTGTTATTTTAAATGTAGGTGTGACATTTGGCAAAATCTGTTCGGATCCCAGAGGTTAATTTTAGAGTAAAATAAGAACAAAAATTGAAAAACTCGTCCGGAATTCGGAGTAGACAGGTTCCGGATCCGAAAGGTTTTTTACTATTGAAAATAGAACGAAAAAAATCGGGACCGGACACTTCGTTCGGATAAGAAAGGATTCCGGATTAGAAGGGTTCGGATTAGCAAGGCTCCACTGTACTTATGCTCATAAGAAGAGATTGAAGTTTCCAAACTGTAACATTGTCATGCATTGAAGGATTTTAAAATAACTTGGCATAAATTTTTACCACATCAAGATGATGAGTCTCATCCAAGACCCATGTCCTAAGGTGTTAAGTTTGCTATAAATAGCACTTCATTTTTAATCAATAATTTACTTTCATTCTCTTTTCTTTCCATAATACTTGAGCGCTTAAGAAACCTTTTCAGGGGCATTTGTCACTTGTATAACAGTTCTTGTTGTATATTGTAATGAATTATTGTTTTCTTGCAATGTGTAGATCTAGCAATAATAATTGATCAAACTATTGCACCGAAAGTCCAGATCCATACCTCAATCTTTTAAAATAGCACATTTTGTGCTTCATTTCTTTTAGGTGGGGGACATGGGTAACTCTGTTACAAATTGTTGTTAAAATGGTTCTGGTCTATTTGATAAGTAGGGAAAAGGAGGTAAAAATAGACTTTGAAAAAAATAAAATCTTATTCTCACAAACAACAGTGCTTAGATCTATGATCTTTTGCATGAAGCATCATCTTGTATGCCATTGGCAAACTTGAATTATTTCTTTTTATTTATAATAATTTAGTATACAAAACCAGTAGAGGATGAGAAACCAAATGGTACACATGCTAACAAGAATGACAGACCAAAGAAGAAGAAGATGACTGATGAAGAAATTATTGAAAAATTGCGTACAATTGTGTCACTTGGAGATCCAAACAGAAAATACACTAAAATGGAGAAAATTGGACAGGGGTAATGCTTTTAAAGTATGCACATAAGTCAATGCACATAAGTTTTTGTGTCACCTCTATTGAGAAGTGGCAATATAGGGATCACTTCTCCGTTGTCTGTCTGTCTGTCCGTCTGTCTGTCAGTCTGTCAGTCCGCTTTTATGTGGCTATTTTTAGCTCACCTGTCACAAAGTCTGTCCGTCATCCGTCCCTCCGTAAACTTTTACTTTAAATGACATCTCCTCATAAACCACTAAGCCAATTTCATCCAAACTTCACAAAAATGTTCCTTTGGTGGTCTACTTTAAAAATTGTTCAAAGAATTTAATTCCATGCAGAACTCTGGTTGCCATGGCAACCGAAAGAAAAAACTTTAAATATCTTCTTTTAAAAACCGGAAGAGCTAGAGCTTAGATATTTGGCATGAAACATCTTCTAGTGAGTGTCTACCAAGTTTGTTCAAATAAAAGCCCTGGGGTCAAAATTGGTCCCGCCCCAGGGGGTCATTGATTTTCCCTATATGCATATAGTAAAAACTTAAAAAATCTTCTTTTAAAGAACCCAAAGAGCTAGAGCTAAGATATTTAGCATGAAACATCTTCTAATGAGTGTCTACCAAGTTTGTTCAAATAAAAGCCCTGGGGTCAAAATTGGCCCCGCCCCAGGGGGTCATTGATTTTCCCTATATGCATATAGTAAAAACTTAAAAAATCTTCTTTTAAAGAACTCAAAGAGCTAGAGCTAAGATATTTAGCATGAAACATCTTCTAATGAGTGTCTACCAAGTTTGTTCAAATAAAAGCCCTAGGGTCAAAATTGGCCCAGCCCCGGGGGTCATTGATTTTCCTTATATGTGTATAGCAAAAACTTAAAAATCTTCTTTGAAAAAACCCAAATAGCTAGAGTTTAGATATTAAGCATGAAACATTTTCTAGTAAGTGTCTATAAAGTTTGTTCAAATGAAAGCCCTGGGGTCAAAACTGGCCCCGCCCCAGGGGTGTCATTTATTCACTATATGTGTATAGTAAAAACTTAAAAAATCTGCTTTTAAGAAACCCAATGAGCTAGAGCTTAGATGTTTAGCATGAAACATCTTCTTATGGGTGTCTACCAAGTTTGTTCAAATAAAAGCCCTTGGGTTAAAATTGGCCCTGTCGGGGTGGGGGGGGGGGGGGGGAGCTATATACAGGTGAGCGACTTCAGGGCCATCATGGCCCTCTTGTCTTTTGTGTGGCTAAAGGGAACAATAGAGTAGCCACATTATTACTGTCTCGTGAAAGCATCCGTCTGTTCGTCCATCACGAAACTAGTCCGGACTACTCCTCATAAACTACTGGTGCAATTTCATCCAAACTTTACAGGAATGATCAGTACCAAGTTTAGTTGTTCATATCATCAGCATTTTCCAGTTCAATGATTTTGTCCGATTTATGGCCCTTTAATAATTTTTATTTTTAAAGTTTGTCCGCACTACTTCTCTTATACCACTAATGCATTTCAATGAAACTTTACAGAATTGATTTGTAGCTCAAGTCCTTGCGTATATTGCATGGGTTTTTCGGTTGAATGATTTTTGGAAGAGTTATGGCCCTTTAATAAAAAAGGTGTTTTTTTTGCTCACCTGTCACGTGAGCTTTTGTGATCGCTTTTCGTCCGGCGTTTGTCCGGCCGTCCGTAAACTTTTACTTTAAACGACATCTTCTCATAAACCACTAAGCCAATTTCATCCAAACTTCACAGGAATGTTCCTTTGGTAGTCAACTTTAAAAATTGTTCAAAGAATTTAATTCTAAGCAGAACTCTGGTTGCCATGGCAACCGAAAGAAAAAACTTAAAATATCTTCTTTTAGAAAACCGAAAGAGCTAGAGCTTAAATATTTGGCATGAAACATCATCAAGTCAGTGTCTACAAAGTTTGTTCAAATAAATGCCCAAGTGTCAAAATTTGCCCCGCCCCGGGGTTCATTGATTTTCCTTATTTGTATATAGTAAAAACCTTAAAAAATCTTCTTTTAAAAAGCCCAAATAGCTAGAGCTTAGATATTAAGCATGAAACATCTTCTAGTGGATGTCTAATAAGTTTGTTCAAATAAAAGCCCTGGGGTCAAAATTGGCCCAGCCCCAGGGGGTCATTGTTTTTCCCTTTATGTATATAGTAAAAACTTAAAAAATCTTCTTTTAAAAAATCCTAAGAGCTAGAGCTAAGATATTTAGCATGAAACATCTTCTGATGGATGTCTACCATTTTTGTTCAAATAAGGGCCCTAGGGTTAAAATTGGCCCCGCCCCAGGGATCATTGATTTTCTTTATTATCTTGATTACTATTTATCACAAAGTCTTCATATTTCACATATTGATTGGTCATAACTAGTAGATGACCCCTATTGATTTTGGGTTTACCAGGTCAAAGGTCAAGGTCACAGGGTCTTTGAATGGTAGAGGATTTCAGCTCATTATTTTGAAAGGTAATTATAACAAAGTCTTCATATTTCACATAGTGATTGGTCATAACCAGCAGATGATCCTTATTGCTTTTCACAGGGGTCTAAAATGTCAGAATAGTTTCTGCTTATTATCTTAAAAACTAATCATCACAAAGTCTTCATATCTCTAATAATGATTGGTCATAACTAGTAAGTGACCCCTATTGATTTTGTGGTCACTAGGTCAAAGGTCAATGTCACAGCGGCCTTAAATGTCTCATTCTTGAAAACTATTTATCGCGAAGTCTTCATTATTTTTCTTTTTTCCATAATTGAATACTTTAATGTACCCATTTATGGCAAGTTTCTCTAACAAAATTACCAATAATGTGTGTCAAGGTCTAGAAAGGGGGGCATATTTTTACCCTCCTGCGCTTGGTAGTGTGAGCCTGTAACTATCCCTCTCTTGTACGGTGTTGAGCTGCCTCATGTGGCTGCTGGCCAGATCTTCTGTAGGTTGCCCTCTACTTCCTGTCTTTGTCAGTCAGCTTCTCTGTAGACTGCAACTCTGTTTGACTTTGCCCCTTCTTACTGCTCTATTTGACAGCAACTACCTTTTATGACTGCTCTCCGTGACTGTGTGTTGTTTCGTATGTAGACAGCATCTATCTTTTGACTGTTAGCCGTGATTAGATAACACGTTGTCTGCTACTGCTAGTCGACTGTCCGCTGGGCATTCACAAAGTTTGAACTTCAATGTTAAAAAATAATTAAGGAGGGAAAAATTACAAATGCCTTTAAAAGTTTCTAAAGTTTATAAACAGCTTAAACAAGCAAATGTATAAATTAACTGTAAGTTATTATGTCACAAAAATTGTTCATAAAAATACTGTTTTAAGTTACAATCTCAAGTTCCCTCAATAAAGTTTCTAATCAAAACAAAACTTAAACTTCACAAAAATAAATGTCAGATTATTTATTTAATCGTAAAACCTCAAAGATAAATTAATAAAAAAGTTGTGTACCAGAATAATTTCGAGTAAATGCCAAAGTATAGAGAATTTTAAAGAAATATTCAAAAAGGTGCACAAAGTGAAATTTTGGTGTTGAAGTTCTTCATTTGAAGGGAAGCTGGCTATTTATATGCCACAGTCTCCACACATTCCACAACTTTGTGGAAGATATTTTTGTGGGCTCCATAGTTTTTCTCGTGGGAAGACGTCCCACAGATTTTCTTGTGGAAGGAACGCTCCACAGCTTTTTCTGTGGGCTCCACAATAATTTTGTGGGATATCATCTGCGCCAAAAATAGGCACCTAATCAACAAAGTATGTACATCAAAACTCATAATAAGAATAATCATATTGAAATATTACATTCTCTAAGTGACAATTTAAGTTAACAAATTACTATCATCGGATAAAGAACTATCCCTTGCATTCACTACGTAATAACAGTAGACATAATAGTCCAACATGGCTGACATAGAAAAGTGCATTTCAAATTATCATAAATATACTATTAATATTAAATTCAGATGGATTTTTAACGCAGATTTACATTTTAAATGAGGCTACATCATGTACAACCAAACTTTAACATCTTGAGTGTGAAATAAAGGAATTAACTATTTTGACAGAAGTCACGAAATCAAATTAAAAACACAGGATTCTACCATGGATAACATTTAGGGAAAATCTTCCAGAGTCAGGAAGGATTAAATAGCTGGCACAATAATTATGTAGATTTAAGTTGATGTCCTGTAAGTTTCATTAGGACACCACATGATTAACTGTGTTGTCGCCAGTAAAAGCTTCTCAAAATGAAAGTGAAATTAGAAATAAACAAGACTGAAATCCAGTGAAATCACAAAAGGTAAAATTTCTAGGGCATTACAATATGTGTCGTTAGACATTTCTTGTTGTCAGAGTTTTTGCCCTTTCATGATTTTAATTTTGAAATTTGTCCAGACTACTCCTGTTATACCACTTATGCAATTTCAATGACACTTTACAGGATTGATTGATAGCTCAAATTCTTGTGCATATTACACAGGTTTATAGGTTGAATGATTTTTTGCCAAGTTATGGCTATCATGAGGCAACACATGTCATCACTGATGGCCTTTGTGTCACTGCAAAATAAACCTGTCATCCGTTTGTAGTTTTGGACAATAGTTATATGCATGGTATCAGAATAAGGCTTACAGTTTTTAGTCTTTGATGTTGGCCGGTCTAAAAAGACTGCCAAAGTCATATCAATTAATACGAGACAATAATTTACTCAGGTCATTGGTCTTTACAGACCGGCAGAGACGTTGATTTTGCAGAGACTGTTAATAAGTAGGTCTCATGTGATTTATCTGTATCAATAGACACTCTGAAAGCAATATGGCATGGTTAATAGGGGATGAAAGATAAAAACAAGAGAAGATTTAAAACAAGTCACTAATAATTAATTAAATATTTGCCAGAATTCTAATTTGTTAGAAATATTTTGGACGCTGTTTTATTTGCATTATTCCATTCTAGACAAAAAAATCAATCTGATATATAAGGGCAATCGTATTAATAAGGGAAAAAAAACCAAAAACTAAGGGCTTAAAAACAGAAACAGTGTTGAATTGTTTTATCCTTGACCAGACATTTTAAGGAAATGAACACATAAAGAGCATAATAACTTCTGATATTTTTATCTGAAATGGACAATAGTTAAGTGCTTAGTACAAAATTTGAGTTACTGTTTATCATTTAAAACAGGTATATTTACTGTGTTATAGTGACATTCTTATATTCTTTAAATGATGCAGCATATGAAAAATGATTTCCAGATATGAAATGTAGACAGGTAATCATTAGCATGTAAACTTGTTTTATTTGAAGTAGCTGATAGGGGCATTGTTTCCATAAAAATTAAGACAGTGGTGAAAAGTTGTAGCAAATTGATAAGTGAAGAAAGTAGCCCCTTTTTGCTGGCATGTTCTGCTTCTCTGCACAAAAAGGCCCCCAGAGCTATATGTAGTAAAATCTTGTCCTGCTTTCACAGGCCAAACTGCTCCTGGGATTTTAATGAAACTGCACAAGAGTGATCAATACCATCACTAGTTGTGCATATTGCTGGCACTTTCTGCTTAGCTCTACAAAATGGCCATCAGAGCTAAAAATAGAAAAATCTTGTCTGGCTTTTACTGGTCAAACTTCTTGCGTGATTTGGACATGACCTTATAGGAGTGATCAGTTCAATATCTTGTTGTGCATATCACTGGCATGTTGCTTTGCTGTACAAAATGACTGCCAGAGCTTACTATTAAGATTTTAATGACATAAGATTAAATCACATAGTTTTTAGAATAAAAGACCCAATCTGATATAAAAAAAAGTTTTACATAATTATGTTAAATACACACATTGATTTTAAAAATTACACTAATTTTAAAGATAGACTAGGTTCAATTTCATATTTAAATAAAGTTACAATTCCTACACAGTGTCTTTCTAAAGGTAAAATAAACATGTATTGAATTTGCATGGAGTACATGTGTTAAGTTTTTAACTCTACACACCAAATATTAGACAAATACGGTATGAATACATAGTGTCTTTAAAAAAACTAGCAGTTTTTTTAAGAAATGACCTTCTTAACTTGACCCGTAAAATGTAATGCAGCTTTCAATACACATTTTGTGTGATCTTTTATTCAAATTAGACATAATTTATTATGCCTCCCTTCAAAGAAGTGGGGGTGTATTGCTTTGCATTTGTCTGTTTGTAGACCAAATGGTTTACAATCAATTACTAAAGAACTCTTAGGCCTAGGAACTTCAAACTTGGTATGATGATTGTTCATGACTAGTTGATGGCCCCTATTGATTTTTGGGTCAAGGGATCAAAGGTCAAAGTCACATTGATCTTGTAGGTAAAAATTGTTTCCGATCAATAAATAAAGAAAGCTTTGGCCTAGGCACTTCAAACTTGGTATGATGATTGTTCATGACCAGTAGATGACCCCTATTGATTTGGGAGTGAAAGGTTAAGCTCACATTGACCTTGTAGGTAAAAACAGTTTCTGATCAATAACTAAAGAACGCTTAGGCCTAGGAGCTTAAACTTGTGTGATGATTGTTCATGACCAGTAGATGACCCCCATTGATTTTGGGGTCAAAGATCGAGGTCACATTGACCTTGTAGGTAAAAGCTGTTTCCAATCAATAACTTGACAAGACATTGGCCTTTGGCCCTCAAACTTAGTAGGTGCATTGGTCTTGACAAGTTAATGACCCCTTTTGTTTTTAGGGGCAAGGGGTCAAAGGTCAAGGTCACACCGACCTTGTATGTCAAAACGCTTTCACATTAAGCTTGTCCGGCCATCACAGGTCAAACTACTGGTGGGATTTCAACCAACCTTTACAAGAGTGATCAGTACCATCCCTAGTTGTGCACACCTGTCGCTTCTTTGCACAAAATGGCCACCAGAGCTGAAAATAATAAAATCTTGTCCAGCCTTCACATGTCAAACTATTGATGGGATTGCAACCAAACTTTGCAGGAGTCATCAGTACCATCCCTAGTTGTGCACACCACCGGCATGTTCCGCTTCGCTGCACAAAATGTCAACCAGAACTAAAAATAGAAAAATCCTGTCTGGGCTTCACATGTCAAACTACTGATGGGATTTCAACCAAACTTCACAGGAGTGATCAGTGCCATTGCTAGTTGTGCATATCGTCGGCATGCTCTGCTTTGTTGCACAAAATGTCAACCAGAACTAAAAATAGAAAAATCCTGTCTGGGCTTCACATGTCAAACTATTGATGGGATTTCAACCAAACTTTACAGGAGTGATCAGTACTATACCTAGTTGTGCACATCATGAGCACGTTCTGCTTCACTGCACAAAATGGCCGCCCAAGCTAATTGTCTGGCCTTAACAGGTCAAACTACTGATGGGATTTCAACCAAACTTCACAGGAGTGATCAGTGCCATTGCTAGTTGTGCATATCGTCGGCATGCTCTGCTTTGTTGCACAAAATGGTCACCATAGGTAAAAATGGTAATCTCTTGTCCGGCTTTCACTTGTCTAACTACTTGTGGGATTCCAACCGAACTTCACAGGAGTGTTCAGTACTATCTTTAGTTGTGCATTTCACCAGCACTTTCTTCTCCCCTGCACAAAATAGCCGCCAGAGCTATAAATAGAAAAATCTTGTCCGGTTTTCACAGATAGAACACAGATGGCACTCGTTTGGTAGTTTTTGGGCCGAATATGGGGACCTCAAAATCATATGTATTTTTCCCCTATCTCAGAAAAAAATCCCCTCGAATTCTATTATAAGTCAACTTCAAGTAAATTGTTTGATTTGTTAGTCTAAATTAAAAAATATACTAGCTATTGATTTCAGTGGTAGGAAAATTACAAACTATTGGAACCAATAGTAGGAAATAGTGAAATGAGTAAATGTGATTAAAGATACATAAAATACATAATAACATAAAATTTCGAATTTTGCCTTAAAACGACGCAAAATTCTCCTTTAGGGTATGGGTACTTGTACCCTAAAGGTGTCTAGTGCCCTGATTTAGAATTTTAACACATTATGTGTCCAACAATTAATTAGTCTTTTATGTCACATATTAATTTTAAAATTATAGTTTGTATTTAACACATAAACATATTATGTAAATTATTTTTAAACAAATCTAAAGCAAAACTAGAAACGTGTCATAACTCAATGAATCCCCTGCAATTGCAGGCAAAATTTCAAATGTTATAATAGTATTTTGTTCAAAATTTGTTTCAACAAATAATTTTTTTCATTTAAGTTCATGCCCTTAACCCTTTCCCTCATGAGCATATTGTGAAAAATGGCCGTTTTCATTAAAAAGGCTTCAGTTACAAGTTCAAACTGCTATGAAACAATGAAAAATGCTTCAATACTATTCAAACTTGGCACAAATGTTGACTGGACCATTGCCTTTGTAACGACATACTCAGTCTTAATTTTCCTGTTACCATTATGGCAATGAGGGGACATCTCAAAATTGCTAAAACTCTTTATTTTGCGTTGATTTTTTTCATCAAAATTTATTTCAAAGTCCTGCAACTTCTCAATGGATTGAGATAGAGTCAAAGACTTTTCAGCGTTGGTTACACATTACCTTATGATCGACCTGGGGTCATTTTTAGCCTCTCACAAATCCAAAATTTTCTTGGCCGTTAAGAAAGGGTAATAGAAATAAATTTTCTTGAGCCCTTGTGAGACCAAGTATACCCGTACTATATCGTGCCTGCCATTTATGATTCATACTTGAACCATATTGGTTGTATGGTGATCGTATGAAACTGTGTGTGCACTTGTGAGAATCTCGAGAAAGACACTCGAATGGCCCGAGTGTAACTCAGATATCGCCATGGTTGTTTCGGTTGTATGTACGATTTACATCGGTGGCCAACCGTATAAACTGTGTGTTCTGTGTGAGACGGACTCTACTTGTTTACCATTTTTCTATTACCCTTTCTTAATTGTTTATGCTTATCAAAAACTATGCTGTGGCTTTCTGTAACTTTTTCCCTCGATAGCCATAATCTTTTTCTACGTTTAAATGTTAAACGCCTTACTTTTTATTAATTTTTCTTACTGATCAATTTTCGAGACGTTCCGACGACCTAGTTTTAACGAGAGTATTTCTTTACAAGTGACATTTGAATTTTAATTGCAAAATATAAATATGGTTTAACCTTTTACCCCATGAGCATATTCCAAAAAATGGCCGTTTTCATTTAAAAGCCTCCTGTAACAAGTTCAAACTGCTATGAAACTATGTAAAATGTTTCAATATTGATGAAACTTGGCACAAATGTTGACAAGACCATAGCCTCTGTAACAGCATGCTCAATCGTAAATTTCCTGTTACCATGGTATCAGGAGGACGTCTCAAAATTGCCAAAAATCACTATTTTGCATTGTTTTTTTCTATCAAAACTGATTTTAAAGTGCTGCAACTTCTCAATGAACTGAGATAGAGTAAAATTAAAGCTTTTCAGTGTTGGTTACTAGTTACCCTAAGATCTTCCTAAGGCCATTTTTAGCCTGTCACATGTCCAAAATTTTCTTGGCAATGAGGGGGGACTACCGTCCCCCTTCAAACCCCCAAATCCCCCCTTCTGGCAACCCCCTGATGTAACATTTTAATAGGGGGCAGCACCAAAAAAGTGGTTACTTTTTTGAACAACATTTCTCAAACGAAAAACAGTGTTTGGGGCCTAAATAAGGTATTTTTTTCAGTGCTTGAGGCCTCAAAAGGGGGGGGGGGGACAAAAAGCCGTCAAAACACGTATGTCTATATATATACAAACTAGTATATGATCTTTTAATTTAAATTATTCATGATATATGTTTGCTATAAGATCTCAGATGAGCGATCCTGGGCCTTTCCATGGAGCTAACAAACTGTTCCATAATTTAAGCAAGTTATGTCCATAACAAGATTCTGCATTGTTTAAGGAAACTTCTAAAGTGATATCAGAATTCTGAATGATTTTTTTCAGTGCATCTGGAACTGTGTATATAGCAATAGAAGTAGCAACAGGAAGAGAAGTAGCCATAAAAGCAATGAATCTCTCACAGCAACCAAAGAAAGAATTAATTATCAATGAAATATTAGTAATGAGAGAACACCAAAATCCAAATATTGTCAACTTTCTGGACAGTTACTTAGTTGGTGAAGAATTGTGGGTAAGTGGTAATTTTTACATTTCTTCATTATGCTCCCCGAAGGGATTGCATATAGCCACCACCTTGTCTGTCTGTCCATCTGTCTGTCTGTTTTGTAAAAGCAATGAATCTCTCACAACAACCAAAGAAAGTTTATTTATTGTATAGAGGGGTATATTAGTTTATCTATTGTATAGAGGGGTATATTAGTTTATCTATTGTATAGAGGGGTATATTAGTTTATCTATTGTATAGAGGGGTATATTAGTTTATCTATTGTATAGAGGGGTATATTAGTTTATCTATTGTATAGAGGGGTATATTAGTAATAGAAAGAGCATCGAAGCACAAGGCTATTCAATTTGTACGAGGGTGGCGTAGCCCCCGAGTATTAATCAGATTGCCGAGTGTTTTGATGTTTTAATGCCACCGCAGCATCTGCGATGCGGTGGGATGGGATGGGATGGTATGTATGTGTATTATATAATGAACTTAAGAAAAACCACTAGTCCAATTTCAACCAAACTTGGCAGGATTGATCCTTGGGTGAAGGGCTTCCAAAGTTGTTCAAAGAATTTCATTCCATGCAGAAATCTGGTTTCCATGGCAACCAAAAGGAATTATAAGAATAAATTTAAAAAATCTTCTTGTAAAGACCCAAAAGGCCTAGAGCTTAGATATTTTGCACAAGGCATTGTCTGGTAGACCTCTACCAAGATTGTTCAAATTATAGCCCTGGGGTCCAAATCGACCCCGCACCGGGGTCATTGATTTTCACTATATATACATATAGTAAAAAATTAAAATACCTTCTTGTCTGAAGGTACTAGGCTTAGAGGTTTGATATTTGGTACTCAACTAAAGTTGTTCAAATTTTGCCTTTAGTGTCAAAATTAGCCCGCCCGGGGGTAATAGGTGTTCCTTAAATGTATATAGTAAAAACTTAAAAAATCATCTTCTCTAAATTGAAAAAGGCTAGAGGTAAGATATTTTGCATGAAACATTGTGTAGTGAACCTTTAGCAAGATTGTACAAATTATAGCCCTGGGGTCAAAATTGGCCCCGCCCCTGGGGGTCATTGATTTTCATTATGTACATATAGTAAAAAATAAAAAAATCTTATTGTCTGAAGGCACAAGGCTTAGAGCTTTAATATTTGTTATATGATATCATCTATAGGTACTCTACCAAAGTTGTTTAAATTTTGCCTTTAGTGTCAAAATTAGCCCCGCCCCGGGGGTCATAGGTTTTCCTTATATGTATATAGTAAAAACTTAAAAAATCATCTTCCCTAAAATGACAAAGGCTAGAGGATAGATATTTTGCATGATACATTGTGTAGTGAACCTCTAGCAAGATTTTAAAAATTATAGCCCTGGGGTCAAAATTGGCCCCACCCCCGGGGGTCATTGATTTTCACTATGTACACATATAGTAAAAAATTAAAAATCTTCTTGTCTGAAGGTACAAGGCTTAGAGCTTTAATATTTGGTATATGATATCATCTATAGGTACTCTACCAAAGTTTTTCAAATTTTGCCTCTAGTGTCAAACAAGCCCCGTCCCAGGGGTCATGGGTTTTCCTTACTTGTATATAGTAAAAACTTTAAAAAATCATCTTCTCCTATTGACTAAGGCTAGAGGTTAGACATTTTGCATTAAACATTGTGTAGTGAACCGCTAGAAAGATTATTCAAATTAAAGCCCTGGGGTCAAAATTAGCCCCGCCCCTGGGGATCATTGATTTTCAGTCACTATATCATAAATTATATCATAAAGTAAAAAATTAAAAATCTTATTGTTTGAAGGTACTAATCTGATAATAACAGATAGGTAAGTCAGATCCATGCGTTATGGCAATCTGTAAAGAAACAAAAAAAATTTTTTTCCTACATTACTATTCAGTGTTGTATTTATGCGGTGGCATGGCATTTTTTACAAATGCAATCTTGTTTCTGTTTTGTTAGAGTTATTGCAATTGACTTAGTAGTGTAGCTCAAAATGTATTTCATCTAGGGTCATGAAACTTCACAGGAATGTTGCTCAGCATGTGAAGATGTGTACCTGGTGTTTACCTTGTGGATTTATTCTGTTTCGTCAGAGTTATTGCCCTTGACTTAGTGAAAATTGCAATTTTCAACTTGTGTTGCATGTAGCTCAAAAAGTATTTGACCTACATGTAGGGTCATGAAACTTTACAGGAATGTTGATCAGCATGTGAAGTTGTGCACTTGGGGTTTGGTTATGAATTTATTCAGTTTTGTCAGAGTTATTGCCCTTGACTTAGTGAAAATTTGCAATTTTCAATTTGTGCAGTGCATAGCTCAAAAAGTATTTAACCTAGAGTCATGAAACTTAACAGCAATGTTGGTCAGCATGTGAAGTTGTACACCTGGGGTTTCGCTTTGGATGTATCCAGCATTTGTAGAGTTATTGCCCTTGACTTAGTAAAAACCATTCCATTATGTTGTATTATTTGTTCCTTGAGTGCTTGAGTAAATCTTCATACGAAAGTGTGACAAATCAGCATACGTACATTACTATTGTTTACCAATTAATGAAAATTATTATGTACACATTATATGCAGTGTTTATTGATTAGCGGACGACTTTCAGTTATACTTCTCGCTATCAAATGCAGTGACTGGCTTAAACCGTTTTAATGCGGATAATTTGTCACGCCTACTGTAGTCGTGACAAATTGCTTTGTCAATGCCAATTTCTTTTGTTGGCACTTATTGATTGAACAGTAAAATTTCAATGCATCCATCTGAAATTATCACGAATCAAAAATGATTTCAAATGAGTGCATTTAAGAATTTTCAAGGGTCAAGAACACTAAAATAATTGATTTTAAAAGGACTATCGATTGTCGCTTACTTCTGGGTGGTCTGATTAGTTTTTGATTTTCAGCGACAATGAGGACAACACTACTGAAATTGCTTCTTGTTTCTAGCCCTAGACACAATATGACCTTTCCTGTCAAAAAGCCTAAGTTATGTGACAGATTGAGGGCTGTCATAGCTAACAAGTTTTAATAAGTTTTGAAAAATTATTTAGATGTGTTTGTCAAGTTTAATATTTTTATAATTGAAGGTGGTAATGGAGTACTTAGCTGGTGGTTCATTGACGGATGTTGTTACAGACACATGCATGGATGAGGGTCAGATAGCTGCAGTGGCTAGAGAGGTATTATTTTTTTGCTCCCCGAAAAGAGCATATAGTGGTCAGGTTGTCCGTCCGTCCGATAAGAGCATTTTGTCGTCGGGCTGTCCGTCCATCAGTCTGTCCGCACGTACGTACGTCCCGAATTTGTGTCCGGCCCATAACTTTGTTATTTGAAGTTGGATTTTAAAACTATTTCACAGAAATGATCACCATATTGAATCGACGTGTCGCGCGCAACATTCGAGTCGCTACTTTGAAGGTCAAGGTCACAGCTTGACCTTACAGCAAAATCGTGTCCGGTCTATAACTTTGTTATTTTAAGTCTGATTTTAAAACTATTTCACAGAAATGATCACCATATTGAGACGACGTGTCGCGCGCAACATTTTGATCGCTACCTTGAAGGTCAAGGTCACAGCATGACCTTGCAGCAAAATTGTGTCCGGCCCATAACTTCGTTACTTGAAGTCGGATTTAACAACTTTTTCACAGAGATGATCACCATATTGAATCGACATGTCAAATGCAATATTTGGGTCGCTACCTTGAAGGTCAAGGTCACAGCATGACCTTGCAGCAAAATCGTGTCCGGCCCATAACTTCGTTATTTGAAGTCAGATTTTACAACTGTTTCACGTAAATGATCACCATATTGTGACGACGTGTCACACGCAACATTTGGATCGCTACCTTGAAGGTCAAGGTCACAACATGACCTTGCAGCAGAATCCTGTCCAGTCCATAACTTGGTTACTTGGAGTCGGATTTTACAACTATTTCACATAAATGATCAGCATATTGAGACAATGTGTCGTGCACAACATTTGGGTTGTTTTTACACTTTGTCTGTGACATAACTCTAACACTACAAGAGGTAGTCCAAAACCTATTCGGGGGGCATGACCCGGTTCAACCGGCCCTTGTTGTCAACATGTTAACAGATTACTGGACTAGCTAGTGGAGGTGTCAACTTGATGCTTTAACTCAGAGTTATGGCCCTTGATTAGTTATGCAGTATGCATATAGAGCAATAATCTTATCCGCACTACTTCTCTGCAACTACTGGCAAACAAAACTTTATGGGAATCATCAATATCAAGAGTAGATGTGCATATCGTCGCCTTTTACGGTCAGACACTTTAACTCAGAGTTATGGCCCTTGATTAGTTATGCAGTATGCATATAGAGCAAACTTTATGGGAACCTTCAATACCATGAGGAGATGCGCATATCATCGCCTTGTTCTGGTCAAACACTTTAACTCAGAGTTATGGCCCTTGATTAGTTATGCAGTATGCATATAGAGCAAACTTTATGGGAACCTTCAATACCAAGAGGAGCTGCGCATATCATCGCCTTGTTCTGGTCAGACACTTTAACTCAGAGTTATGGCCCTTGATTAGTTATGCAGTATGCATATAGAGCAATAATTGTTTCTGCGCTACTTCTCTGCAACTACTGGCTGAAATTCAATTAAATTTTATGGGAAAAATTCATTAATACCAACAGGAGATGCCAGATCATTGCCTTGGTCAGACCAGATCCTTCATTACAAAGTTATGGCCCTTGATATGTTATGTAGAATGCATATAAAGCAATATTGCTATTTCTTTTGCAACTGCTGTATTGATTTCAATAAAACTTTATGGGAACCATCGCTACAAAAAGGAAACTTACATGTCATTGGCATGTCCAGCTATTACTATTTAACACGGAGTTATGGCTCTGTTATTGCCCTGAATATTTATCATGTACAAAGAATAATTACTGTTTATGCCATGATAAATATATATAGATAAAGCCTTATGTCTTCAGTTGTTGTCTTAGTAATAACCAGTATTCGGCGGGTGATATAAATTCAACGAATGTGCTTGTTGACACCAAACTTGGTGTGTTTGTAGCTTATTTCAAGAAGCTATTCAAAAATGATATCCAGGTATCTGTGATCAAAGTCAAGGTCACTGTTATTAAAAATAGAAATTCAGTTTACGCTCAATAACTTGAGTTTGTTTTGTTTGTTTGTTTTGGGTTTTACGTCACATCGACACAGTATAGGTCATATCGAGACATTCCAGCTTTACTGGTGGAGGATGACATCAGGTGCCCTTCCGTGCATTATTTCAGGCAGGAACGGGTACCTGAGTGAAACCACCGACGTTATGTAAGCTAGCTGCATAACTTCCTCACATGAAAGAATCCAAAGTCCCTGTCGGGATTCGAACCCACAGAGGTGAGGTGCAAGTGGTTTGAAGTAAATTGAGTTTGCTTTAGTCTATTGACACCAAACTTGGTGTGTGGGTAGCTTATTTCAAGAGGCAGCTTTGGATTGCTACCCAGGGTCTGTGAAAAAGGTCAAGGTCACTGTTACTAAAAATAGATATTCAGTTTTAGCTCAATAACTTGTTTACTTTGGCCTATTGACACCAAACTTGATGTATGGGTAGCTTACATCAAGACACTACTGGGGATAACTACCCAGGTGACTATGATTAAGGTCAAAGTCACTTAATTGTTAAAAATAGAAATTCAGTTTCTGCTCAATAACTTGAGTTTGTTGTGACCTATTGCCAGCAAATTTTATGTGTTGGTTGCTTATATCAGAAAGCAACTTAGGATTGTTACCCAGATGTCTGTGATCAAGGTCAATGTCAATGTTGGTAAAAATAGAAATTCAGTCTCCGCATAATAACTTGAGTTTGCTTAGACCTATTGACACCAAATTTAGTATGAGGGTTGCCTATATCAAGACCCAACTTGGGATTGCTACACAGGTGTCTGTGAACAAGGTCAAGGTCACTGTTCCATATAAAAGATATTCAGTTTTCACATAATAACTTGAGTTTGCTTTGACTTTTGACACCAAACTTGCTGTGTGGCAGCTTGGGGTTGTCTCTTGATATATGGGAGCAAGGTCAAGGTCATTTGCTTACAAAAGAATTTAAAGCTTCTACTCAGTGCACTTTGACCTATTGATTCCTTTTACATCAAAAGTTTGTTGTTGAAAACCTGGTTTCATCGCATTTGGGCGCTTCTTGTCCTTATATGTATATAGTAAAAAACTTTAAAGAAAATTTGCCTTTTAAACTACAGAAGCTTAAGCTTAGTTTTTTTTACATGAAACATGTTGTACTTGTGGTTGTCTACCAAGTTTGTTCAAATAAAAGCCATGGGATAAAAATTGGTCTGTCCCATAGCAGCTAGTAACTTTCCATAGCAACAAGTGACTTTCCATAGCAACCTGTGACTTACTTAGCAACCAGTGACATTACATGGCAACCAAAAACCCCTTTAGCAACCAGTGCCTTTCCACAGCACCCAATGCCTTTCCATGCAACCATTTACTTTCTATAGCACCCATGACTAAAATTGCACGTTGACTTTCCATAGCAACCATGACTTCCATAGTAACCATTGACTCCCATAGCAACCATTGCCTTTCCATAGCAACCAGTGACTTTCACTATATTGCAACCAGTATTTAAGAAAAATAACTCTAACTGTATTTCAAATTTTAATACAGTTATGTAATACAGTAAGTACCAAAAATTTTGTCAAGTCAGAATACTTTTATTTTGAATCATTTATTATACATTGTACTATAGCCTATGTATCTGAACATTAGACACATCTGCAAATTGTCATTCATTTGAAAATGCTGAAATATTAACTAGACACTCCTGCATTATGGCAAAGATCAATCATTACTTCTGTTCCTACTATGTAGTGTTATATTAATGCACTCTTGTTTTTCTATAATTCCCTTTACAGTAGGCAACAGGGTCTCTGACTTATTTAAAATATTATACTTATTGATGACGATTTTTATTATTTCAGTGTTTACAAGCGTTAGAATTTCTGCATGAGAACAATGTGATACATAGAGATATCAAGAGCGATAATATACTACTTGGTATGGACGGCAGTGTCAAACTCAGTATGTATTACAACATTATACACTGCCACCTGGTTAAACTGTGTCCCATTATAACTTTAACCTCATTATAATGCAAACAGACCTTGCCTTTCAAAATAAAAATTTTATTTTTTGCTAATACTACATAAAATTACATGTATATTAATAATCTGACATATCCACTATAACATTTGTTCAACGTATTAGTAAAGTTAATTATGTAATTAGGTCACTTTTGGGTGCAGAAAGTGTGGAAAAAATGCAGTTTTGCCTAATTCTGCTCTCTTTTTTAGCTCACCTGTCACAAAGTGACAGGGTGAGCTTTTGTGATCGCTTTTCGTCCGGCGTCCGTCCATCGTCCGTCCGTAAACTTTTACTTTAAATGACATCTCCTCATAAACCACTAAGCCAATTTCATCCAAACTTCACAGGAATGTTCCTTTGGTGGTCACCTTTAAAAATTGTTCAAAGAATTTAATTCCATGCAGAACTCTGGTTGCCATGGCAACCGAAAGAAAAAACTTTAAATAATTATCTTCTTGTAAAAAACCATAAGAGCTAGAGCTTAGATATTTGGCATGAAACATCTTCTAGTGAGTGTCTACCATGTTTGTTCAAATAAAAGCCCTGGGGTCAAAATTGGCCCCGCCCCGGGGGGTCATTGATTTTCCCTATATGCATATAGTAAAAACTTAAAAATCTTCTTTTAAAGAACCCAAAGAGCTAGAGCTAAGATATTAAGCATGAAACATGTTCTAATGGGTGTCTACCAAGTTTGTTCAAATAAAAGCCCTGGGGTCAAAATTGGCCCCGCCCCAGGGGGTCATTGATTTTCCCTATATGCATATAGTAAAAACTTAAAAAATCTTCTTTTAAAGAACCAAAAGAGTTAGAGCTAAGATATTTAGCATGAAACATGTTCTAATAAGTGTCTACCAAGTTTGTTCAAATAAAAGCCCTGGGGTCAAAATTGGCCCGCCCCAGGGGGTCATTGATTTTCCCTATATGCATATAGTAAAAACTACAAAATCTTCTTTTAAAGAACTCAAAGAGCTAGAGCTAAGATATTTAGCATGAAACATGTTCTAAATGGGTGTCTACCAAGTTTGTTTCAAATAAAAGCCCTGGGGTCAAAATTGGCACCGCCCCGGGGGTCATTGATTTTCCTTATATGTGTATAGCAAAAACTTAAAAAATCTTCTTTGAAAAAACCCAAATAGCTAGAGTTAAGATATTAAGCATGAAACATCTTTTAGTGAGTGTCTACAAAGTTTGTTCAAATAAAAGCCCTGGGGTCAAAATTGACCCCGCCCCGGGGGTCATTGATTTTCTTTATATGTGTATAGCAAAAACTTAAAATCTTCTTTGAAAAAACCCAAATAGCTAGAGTTTAGATATTAAGCATGAAACAATTATTCTAGTAAGTGTCTACAAAGTTTGTTCAAATAAAAGCCCTGGGGTCAAAATTTGCCCGGCCCCAGGGGTGTCATTGTTTTTAACTATATGTGTATAATAAAAACTTTAAAAAAATCTTCTTTTATAAAGCTCAATCAATGAGCTAGAGCTTAGATGTTTAGCATGAAACATCTTCTTATGGGTGTCTACCAAGTTTGTGCAAATAAAAGCCCTTGGGTTAAATTGGCCCTGCAACGTTGGGGGGGTTGGGGGTTGGGGGGGCCTATATACAGGTGAGCGACCTCAGGGCCATCATGGCCCTCTTGTTTGACTTGTTGATCAGTCAGGTATGAAATTGTTATAATATTCTGAAATTCAGAGCTATAACTCGCAAACAGGGACAAATCAAGTTAATCATTTTAAAAAATGTAAGGGAGAAAAAAAAAGACAAAACTATTTGGTTAATACACCAGGTATGTGATAAGTTACTTGATCAAGTAAAGTTTGAAATTTGATATTTCAATAAAACTTGGTACATAGCAAGCTTATAAAATACCTTGCTTGAGATTGTTTTTGGGGCCCCCTAGGGTCAAGGTCACTGTTACTTAAATAGAATAAAATAGGTCATTAACAAGATTAAGAAATAAGATATTACAATGAAACTTAGTGTGTTGCATGCTTATATGAGGACCTTGCTTAAGTTTGCTTTTGGGCCATGTAAGGTGAGGTAACTGTTTGAAAATTTGGTTTTGGGTCAATAAATAAAGTTTGAATTGAAATTATTCAATGAAACTTGATGTCTAGCAAGCTTTTGGAAAACCCATGCTTTGGATTGCTTTTGGTTCCCAAAGGATCAAGATTACTGTAAATAAGAACTGAAAATTGGTTCCAGGTCAATAACTTAAGTTTAAGATATTTTGTGTGGCTTCTACAGAGTAGTGGCGACAAATTGGCATCACTTCTCCAGTTATACATATTCATCCTGAGAATAATGATTTGGTGATCTATAATCAAATCTGCCAAATTTTTGGGAAACATTGTTTTTGCCTTCGCCATCTGTCCATCCCCATTAAGCTTGTTTGACTTTCAAACTGCTTAATTATGCCCCCGCCATATAATGGCAGGGGCATATAGTGTTACCCTGTTCCGTCATTCCGTCATTCCGTCATTCCGTCATTCCGTCCTTCCGTCATCATCAGTTTCCGTTCATTATCTTAATAACCCTTGCACATATTGAACTCAAATTTGACATATGGATATATCATGAGAAAATACAGGTCAAGTTCGAAATTGGTCATGGTTCGATGATTTTTGGCAGAGTTATGCCCCTTTTACATTGAAAATAATATGAAATTTTCAGTTTCCGTTCATTATCTCCCAAACGGTTCAAAACATTCAATTCAAAATTGACATATGGATATGTCATGAGAAAATACAGGTCAAGTTCGAAATTGGTCATGGTTCGATGATTTTTGGCAGAGTTATGCCCCTTTTACTTTGAAAATAACAGAAATTTTCAGTTTCCGTTCATTATCTCCCCAACGTTACAACACATTCAACTCAAACTTGACATATTGATATGTCATGAGAAAATACAGGTCAAGTTCAAATTTGGTCATGGTTCGATGATTTTTGGCAGAGTTATGCCCCTTTTACTTTGAAAATAATATGAAATTTTCAGTTTCCGTTCATTAACTCCCCAATGGTACAACACATGCAACTCAAACTTGACATATGGATACGTCAAAGGAATGCGCAGGTCAAGTTCAAATTTGGTTATGGTTCAATGATTTTTGGCAGAGTTATGCCCCTTTTACTTTGAAAATAATATGAAATTTTCAGTTTCCGTTCATTATCTCCCCAATCGTACAACACATTTAGCTCAAACTTGACATATCGATACGTCAAAGGAATGCGCAGGTCAAGTTCAAATTTGGTCATGGTTAGATGATTTTTGGCAGAGTTATGCCCCTTTTACTTTGAAAATAATATGAAATTTTCAGTTTCTGTTTATTATCTCCCCAACAGTATTAAACATTCAACTCAAATTTGACATATTGATATGTCAAAGGAATGCGCAAGTCAATTTCAAATTTGGTCATGGTTCGATGATTTTTGGCAGAGTTATGCCCCTTTCACTTTAAAAATAATATGAAATTTTCAGTTTCCGTTTATTATCTCCCCAACAATATTACATATTCAACTCAAATTTGACATATGGATATGTTTTTGGAATGCGCAGACCAAGTTTGAATCTGGTCATGGTTCAATGATTTTTGGCAGAGTAATGCCCCTTTCACTTTGAAAATGATATGAAATTTACAGTTTCTGTTCATTATCAACCCAACAGTGTTACATATTCAACTCAAAATTGACATATGGATATGTCAAAGGAATGCGCAGGTCAAGTTGGAATTTGGTCATGGTTTGATGATTTTTTGGCAGAGTTATGTCCCTTTCACTTTGAAAATAATATAGATACATCTTAGGAATAAGCAGTTTAAGTTTGAATTTGGTCGTGGTTCAATGATTTTAGACAAACTTATCTTTCCTGAATGTTGGATAAAATTTGAACTTTCAGTTTCAGCACTCATACTTTTGTGGAAATGTATATAGCCATTATGTTGGCTACAAATATGCAATATGCTATTTTTAAAAGGTTAAGACTGAATAATTTCAGTGCCTTGAACATTGTATAAAAATGGTTAAGACTGAATAATTTCAGTGCCTTGAACATTGTATAAAAATGGTTTGTGTTAACATTGAAAAGTTTTAAGGGCTTTGAACTTAGAATGAAAAAAATAATTTGTGCAAATTGTGCAAACAAATTTGGAACCAAATATTATAACATTTGAAATTTTGGCTGCATGCGGGGGCATCCGTGGCATGATGACACATTTCTAGTTTCTATGAAACTTCACAGGAGTTATCAGTACTATCCCTAGTTGTGCATGCTGGCATTTCAGATTAAAGTTTTGGTTCTGTAAAGTTTTTATATCCGGTACAAGAAAGTTGTAAGGGGGTTATACTGGAATCTGTTTGTTTGTTTGTTCGGCCAACCGGCTGTCAGGCGGTTTTTCCTTGTCCGCCCAATAACTTAAGATTCCTTTGACCCACAGTCTTCATATTAAGCATGTAGGTTAGTTATGATGAGTAGATGACCCCTAATGATTTTGAGGTCTCTGGGTCAAAGGTCAAGGTCTCAAGGGCCTTGACTAAAAAAAGCTTGTCCGCCTAATAACTTAAGATTCCTTTGACCAACAGTCTTCATATTTGGCATGGAGGTTAGTCATGATGAGTAGATGACCGCTTTTGATTTTGAGGTCACTGGGTCAAAGGTCAAGGTCACAGGGGCCTTGATTGAAAAAGGTTTGTCCGCCCAATTACTTAAAATTCCTGTGACCCATAGTCTTCATATTTGGCATGGAGGTTAGTCACAATGAGAAGATGACCCCCTATTGATTTTTAGGTCACCAGGTCAAAGGTCAAGGTCACAGGGTCTTGACCGAAAAAAGCCTGTCCCCCCAATAACTTAACATTCATTTGACCCACAGTCTTCATATTTGACATGGAGGTTAGTCACGATGAGTAGATGACCCCTATTGATTTTGAGGTCACTGGGTCGAAGGTCAAGGTAACAGGGGTCTTGATTAGAAAAAACATGTTCGCTCAACAACTTAAGATTCCTTTGAACCACAGTCTTCATATTTGGCATGGAGGTTAGTCATGATGAGTAGATGACCCCTATTGATTTTGAGGTCTTTGGGTCAAAGGTCAATGTCACAGGGGCCTTCACTTAAAAAGCTTCTTCGCCCAATAACTTAAGGTTCCTTTGACCCACAGTCTTCATATATGTCATAGAGGTTAGTCATGATTAGTAGATGGCCCTTATTGATTTTGAGGTCTTTGGGTCAAAGGTCAAGGTCACAGGGGCCTTAAGCTCAAAAGCTTGTCTGCTCAATTGCGTAACAATGCTTTGGTCACCAGTCTTCATTTTGGGTATTGTGGTTGGTTATGACTAGTAGTTGACCCCTATTGATTTTTAGGTGACTGTGTCAAAGGTCAAGGTCACAGGGGTTTTTACTACAATAAGTTTGTCCGCTCAAATGCTTAAGAATGCCTGTCTAAAGTGTTATTGATTTTGACATTTTCACATTTGAAGCATAAGATTATGTTCTCATATATTCATCATAAAACACCCCCAGGCAAAGCTGCATGGATGGGGGTATTCAAGTCATGCAGTGGCAGTTTCAGTTTGAGGTCAAAGGTAAGGTCACTTTGATCTTTGCCACCAAAACATGTAGAATACATAATTTAGTAATGCACTTGCTTACTACACTCAAATTTGGCAGGGAGGTTGTCCTTGAGCTTTAAATGGCCACTGTTGATGTCGCAGGCTATAAAAAAAATTAATGAACATTAAATGAAATATTCTTTGGATGAACACCTTTGTTTAACTATTTCTGTTTCCTTCCTTACAAGTAAAACTTACAACTACCTAAACTGTACTATTCTGAAATGGTCAAATATAGATTCTAAGAGACAACACTTGTTAGTTGCAGGGTGTGAAGAGTAAGAAAGATAAGAAAAGTACACCTTAATAAATATATTGGGTATGCAATGAGAGAGCAAAAATGTACCCTGATGTAAAATATAGGACAATTGAATAATTATATCAATAATACACAATATTACTTAAAAAAAATAATGATATGAAATTAAATGAAAACAATGATTTTTATATTATTTAAATATATAATAAACACACTGAAAGTTTGTTAGATTTCACTTCCAGTTCACACTTTAGGAGTCACTCAATGCTTGGGATTCAAAGTTCCACGGGCTGATCCTCCTTCAGGAATAAATAAGGGACTGCACAGTTTAATTTATAAAGAAATATGGCCTTATATTTCATATTCACTCACGGTACTGCAGTACACTTTTCTTGATGTATAGATCAATTCGTACTTTACCCATTGATGCTGGGATGATCCCTATAAAGCAATCTGTTTACTGTGCTTTACCATCATCTTTGACCATAACCAAATGTTGGGCGCCACTGTTGCGGGCTATGCCTTTGGTAGAGCGGGTCGGTACACATTTAAAGATATATGTACAATATTTAGCAAAATAAGGCTATGTTTATGTTTACAGTTTTAGCTCACCTGTCACAAAGTGACAGGGTGAGCTTTTGTGATTGCTTTTCGTTCAACGTCCGTCCGGCGTCCGTAAACTTTTACTTTTAATGACATCTCCTCAAAAACCACTAAGCCAATTTCATCCAAACTTCACAGGAATGTTCCTTTGGTGGTCACCTTTGAAATTGTTTCCATGCAGAACTCTGGCTGCCATGGCAACCAAAAGAAAAAAACTTTAAATACTTCCTTTAAAGAATCCAAAGAGCTAGAGCTAATATATTTAGCATGAAACATCTTCTAATGGGTGTCTACCAAGTTTGTTCAAATAAAAACCCTGGGGTCAAAATTGGCGCCACCCCGGGGGGGTCATTGATTTTCCCTATATGCATATAGTAAAAAAATTAAAAAATCTTCTTTTAAAGAACCCAAAGAGCTAGAGCTAAGATATTAGCATGAAACATGTTCTAATGGATGTCTACCAAGTTTGTACAAATAAAAGCCCTGGGGTCAAAATTGCACCCGCCCAGGGGTCATTGATTTTCCTTATATGTGAATAGCAAAAACTAAAAAAATCTTCTTTGAAAAAAACCAAATAGCTAGAGTTTAGATACTAAGCATGAAACATCTTCTAGTGAGTGTCTACAAAGTTTGTTCAAATAAAAGCCCTGGGGTAAAAATTGGACCCGCCCCGGGGGTCTTTAATTTTCCTTATATGTGTATAGCAAAAACTTGAAAAATCTTCTTTGAAAAAACTCAAATAGCTAGAGTTTAGATATTAAGCGTGAAGCATCTTCTAGTTAGTGTCTACAAAGTTTGTTCAAATAAAAGCCCTGGGGTCAAAATTGGCCCCGCCCCAGAGGACATTGATTTTCCTTATATGTGTATAGCAAAAACTTAAAAATCCCCTTTGAAAAATCCTGAATAGCTAGAGTTAAGATATTAAGCATGAAACATTTTCTAGTAAGTGTCTACAAAGATTGTTCAAATAAAAGCCCTGTTGTCAAAACTGGCCCTGCCTAAGGGGTGTCATTGTTTTTAACTATATGTGTATAGCAAAAACTTAAAAAATCTTCTTTGAAAAATCCTGAATAGCTAGAGTTTAGATATTAAGCATGAAACATTTTCTAGTAAGTTTCTACAAAGATTGTTCAAATAAAAGCCCTGGGGTCAAAACTGGCCCTGCCCCAGGGGTGTCATTGTTTTTAACTATATGTGTAAAGAAAAAACTTAAAAAACTTCTTTTAAAAAAACCAACGTGCTAGGCCTTAGATGTTTAGCATGAAACATCTTCTAATGGGTGTCTACCAAGTTTGTTCAAATAAAAGCCCTGGGGTTTAAACTGGCCCCGCTCCGGGGGCCTATATACAGGTGAGCGACTTCAGGGCCATCATGGCCCTCTTGTTAAATATGGCGGAGAATTGCAAAGTGTTGTAATTGGTTATTGATTAATAAATAATAGAGAAGTGGTTAATTGAAGAAAGTGAAGAAAAGGAGGGACTGTCATAAAGACAGTAAGACGAATCTCTATCATTCTAACTACAACTACGACTACTTTACAGACTGACTACTTTATTCAGGTGTTCAAATTATACTTTATGTTAATTAAAGCAGCATGATATAAAACACTGTGATCACATTAAATGTTTACTACTCCGAGGTAATGTTAAGGCATACCTGAAATAAAACAAATATAATGTAGTACTTTGTACCCTATGACATAGATTCTGACAAAGTGGTATGTGGGGGTATTCACGCCATGACAGTGGCAGTTTTAGTTTTTTATGCCCCAGCCATAAAATGGCTGGGGCATATAGTGTTACCCTAATCCGTCATTCTGTCCTTCCGTCATTCCGTCATCATCAGTTTCCATTCATTATCTTAGTAACTTAACGGTTGCACACATTCGACTCAAATTTGACATATCGATATATCATGAGAAAATACAGGTCAAGTTTGAATTTGGTCATGTTCTGATGATTTTTGGCAGAGTTATGTCCCTTGATGAAATTTTCAGTTTCCATTCATTTTCTCTCCAACGGTATTGCACATTCAATGCAAATTTGACATAAGGATATGCACAGGTCAAGTTCAAATAAGGTCATGGTTTGATGATTTTTGGCAGAGTAATGCCCCTTTCACTTTGAAAATAATATGAAATTTTCAGTTTTCCATTCATTATCTCCCCAACAGTAGTTCACATTCTACTCAAATTTGACAAATGGATATGTCAAAGGAATGCGCAGGTCTGAAGTTTGTATTTGGTCATGGTTTGATGATTTTTTGGCAGAGTTATGCCCCTTTCACTTTGAAAATAATATGAAATTTTCAGTTTCCATTCATAATATATCTCCCCAATAGTTGTACTCAAATTTGACATATGGGTACATTAAAGGTATGTGCTGGTCAAGTTCGAATCTGGTCATGGTTCAATGATTTTTGCAGAGTTAATCCCCTTTCACTTTGAAAAAAATAAGAAATTTTCAGTTTCCATTGATTATCTCCCCAATAGTTGTACATATTCAACTCAAATTTAACATATGGATATGTCATAAGAATACACTGGTCAAGTTGGAATTTTGTCATGTTTTGATGATTTTTGGCAGAATCGTGCAAATAGTTGTACAGATTCAACTCAAATTTTATATATAGATACTTCTTAGAAATTAGCCGGTCAAGTTTGAATTTGTTCATGGTTTGATAATTATGGACAAAGTTATCTCTCTTGAACTTTTGAAAAAAAATTGAAATTGTCAGTTTCCGCACTTTACTTTTGTATGTATAAGTTTGAAATTGCATGAGCAGGTAATAGAAGTAAAGTTTGAATTTGGTTTTGGTCCGTTGATTTTTGACAGTGGTTATCCTTCTTGAACTTAGGGGGGAAAAAAGAAATTTTTAGTTTCTGCTCAAACTTTTGTAGGAATGTATGTCAGAGGTTAACATTGCATGTGCTGGTATTTTACCAGAAAATACAAGTCCCCCTTGAACTTGGAAAATATTTTAAAAAATCACAATTTCTATTCATTTTCTTAACTACAAATATGCAATATGCAATTTGCAAAAGGTTAACACTGAATAGTTTCAGGGCCTTGAACTTTGTATAAAAATGGTTTGTGTTAACATTAAGTAGTTTAAAGTACTTGAACTTAGAATGAAACAAAATATTGTAACATTTGAAATTTGGCTGCATGCAGGGGCATTTGTGGCATTTTTGACACATTTCTAGTTTCACAAATGCAATCTTATCTTTTTACAATAATCTTATCAGTCTGCCATGGTGACTGATTGGAATGCTTCATGTTACATTGCATATCTAATCTATTTTCAGCTGACTTTGGGTTCTGTGCTCAGTTATCACCTGAACAAAATAAAAGGTCAACAATGGTGGGAACGCCATACTGGATGGCCCCTGAAGTTGTTACCAGGTAATATAAAGATTTTTTCGCATTTAATTACACTTCTTATCATGCCCCCAGTCATTCTGTCTATACATGCCAAATTTTCACAGATGCTTCCCACACTTTCCACATTTTATTATCAAAATGAGTATTTTTTGATACAACATATGATATTTTTTATCCCCTCACCACAGGCAAAGGGGATATTAGAAATGGTCTCCAAACATTCATCTGTCTCAATTTTCATATGCACGTTTGAAAAACGTGTCGTATTATAGGAACGCCACAGGCGGTGGGCATCTAATTTAGTCCGGAGAATATCTCTCACACGCATGGCGGAATTTTAATGAAACTATGAAAAGCTGTGTTGTGCACATGAAGCAGATCTATAGGTCAAAGGTCAAGGTCACACTTAGAGGTACATATAATTAGTCCCCTACTGTTTTAACCGGAAGGGACTTTAGGTTTACCCTCCGTCCGTCTCCGTCTGTCAGTCCGTCCACAAAACTGGATCCCGCGATAACGCAAAAAGTACTGAAAATATTTTTATGAAACGTGATATATGGATAAATAGCAGTATGGAGATTATGCACGTCTTTTTTTTTTCTTCCTATGTTGAAAATTCTGGTTGCTATGGCAACAAATAGACTGAAAATATGGCAAATTTTACACATAAACTGCATCCAGTGATAACTCAAAAAGTACTGAAAATATTTTTATGAAACTTGAAATATGGGTAGATGACAGTCTGGAAATTATGCATATCTTTTTCTATTCTTCCTATGTTGAAAATTCTGGTTGCTATGGCAACAAATAGACTGAATTTCAAGATTTCTGATTTGATTTTTTAAGCTTTTTCACTATAAGTTCTTTATTTCTTAAGGTGTTTACTTCAAACTTTAAATATAAGTTTCTGGTCATCAACCACATCATATGTGACAAGGTTTACAACTCTAGCACACAAATTATTATTATTATTACCCTTGAACTTAGAATTTTTATGAAAAAAAATGTTGTCTTTTTTTAAATAACTTCTTTATTTCGTAATGTATCTACTTCAAACATGTTTCTTATTATCATTCAACATTTGTGAGGTCACTTTCTTATTTCTTCATGGGTTCTTCAAATTAAAAATAAATATTCATTATCAACACCTACATTATATTTCTGTTTGTTACTTACTATACATTATAGTTAATGCTATATTTGAAAATTGTTATTTTTTCTTACTTATCTTCTTTGTGACTATAAATGGTATCTTTAAACTTAAAGTAAAAGTCACATCAATGTTCATAAAACTAGCATCGTTATTTCAAGAGTTATCTCCTCTTTAAGAATTTTGCATTAAAATATGTTATATTTTGGTAACAGGGATGTTTACAAAAATAACTTAAGAGTCTCCTTCAGTCTATCTGTCTGTCTGTCTGTCTGTTCATAAAAACTGTGCCCTGAGATTACTTTTAAAGATTTTTTGCAACAAATTTACTTAAAATAGAGAAAAGTTGAAACATTAGTTATACTTATTCATCCTGAGAAAATTGGACCTTTTGATTATCTGTTGTATAAACATAATTTCCTTACTAGGCAGGGAAACTTAACACATTTCTATGATATAGTCAAAAGATTTAAGTTCATTTATGTCATTCATTCACTGGTAAAATTGAATGGCCAATGGCCCATCAGAATGTTGCTGGGGTTCTTACCGGTAGGGGACTTATGGATTGCTTGCAATACTATGATAATTGCTTGTTGAAAAAGGTTTGTCTGGAGCAAAACTTCTACATGCATTGAGGGATTTCAATATAACTTGTCACAAATGTTCACCATTGTGAGGCAGAGTGTGGCAAGCAAATTTTACTCCCTGTGGCCAAGGTCAAGGTCACACATCGGTGTCAAAGTACAGATAAAAATATGAAAATGTGTATTAGGACCATTGAGTCATCACTTATGGAAGGATTGAAACACAAATAGTCATTATCAAGACTATGGGTGTGAAACATGTAATTTAGGATAACATATGCAAGGTCAAGGTCACTAAACATGATAAAATGTAGAGATTTTTTCTAGAACATGTCACTTACACCCATGAAGGGATTCTAATGAAACTTCATATAAATGTTCACCACTATAAAAAGAAGTCATGCACATGAACCAGGTCTCTTAGTCAAAGGTCAAGGTCACACTTAGAGATCATTGAAAAACATTTGTCCAGACCAAAACTTCTACATGCATTGAGGGATTTCAATGTAACTTGAAACAAATGTTTACCAATGTGAGGCGGAGTGTCACTTTTGTGACAGGCATATTTTGTGGCAATGTTGCCCTTGTGTTCAGAGCATAACTCTAAAATTATGCAAACAATTTCTTCAAACTTCATACACTGATAATTAACTCTGGTAGAAAGTGCAGTGTGCAAGAAAAATAACTCTCTCTTGCCTACTTTTAAAGTTTTTCACCTATATAAGAATTACTTGAAAATCTTTGTCCACAGCATAACTCCAAAACTCTAAAAGTACTTGAGCAATTTTTTAATCCCCTTCTGCATAGCGGAAAGGGGATTATAGGAATGGCGTCCATCTGTCCATCCGTAACACTTTGTGTCTGCTCCATAACTTTTAAACGGCTGAAAAGTATGTAGAAGTGTTTAGTGAATGATTCTGGTGAAAGTTTGCAGACTTATATAATTTTTGAAGCTGGTGGGTTAAATAAATACATTATAGCTTTATACATGTATAATAAATTCTGTCAGAGAGCTCCCTTTGAGGCTTTCCCTTATTCACAAGTATTCAGAATCATAATTAGAGGTCACTGTCCAAGGCCAGTAATTCTAGCATCAATTTTGACATAATTATGGCCCTTTTGAACTTACATAGTTCTTGGTTAAAGTTTGAACATCAATCCTCAAAACTACTGAAGGTATTCACATGAAACTTAATACAAGTATTCAGGGTCATAATTGGAGATTACTCTCCAAGGCCCATAATTCTAGCATGGATTTTGACAGAATTATGGCACTTTTTGAACTTCTGAAATTAAAGTGGCATGCAATATCAATCTTCAAAACTACTGAAGGTATTCACTTGAAATTTTATACATTACTACCAAATAATAACTAGAGGTCACTATCCTAGGCCTATATTTCTGACATAAATTTTGGCTGAATTATGGCCCTTTTTAGCTCGACTATTCGATAAGACTTAAAATTTACGTTTAAGTTTGTGTACCACCTCACATGATTTTCAAAGTCCATTGGCATAATTTTATGGCTTTGAAACTCTGTACACTTGTTCACCATCATGTCCCCAACCTGTAGTTAGGACAAATGTTTGTACTAAGCAAATAAACTAGTTGTGTATTGTCTGTCCTTGGTAGAAAATTTATCAGTCTGTTTTTAAACTAGCTTTTTCTGTAGGTTACAAGAAAATGAACAAAGTATGATTATTTGTCTCTCACCACTGATTCAGTAGTCATTTTGGATTAGTATAGTTATGGTCACTTGCTGAGAAATTGGTATTTACTGGTAAGTTATTTGTACAAGGTTGACTGTCCATGCAAATATGATCAAACCAGACAATCAAACAATTAAATTATTTGATGGCTTTTATTTTAAGTCTATATGTGTCTCTAATATCTACTTGAATAAACATACTTGTTAATTCTATATAATGTTACATTTCATGATAATTTTTTTCAGAAAGCAGTATGGTCCAACAGTAGATATCTGGTCTTTAGGAATAATGTGCATAGAAATGATCGAGGGAGAGCCACCATATTTAAATGAAAACCCAATTAGGGTAAGATTTCATTTTCATATGCCCAAAAAAATTTGGCATATAATGTAATGCACCTGATCATCTGTCTGTCTGTTGTCGTATCTTTTGAACAGGTGAAAGGAAATTGAAATATTGACCATGTGATGATGTGCAGAGCACAGATTTGACCTTCCTCAGGTCAAGGTCACAGTCATTTTGTCTGAATTTTAAAATACTGTCCACTCTGTATTCTTTGAAGAGATAGAAAGAAATTAAACGTTTTGGCAGAAATATTACTAATAATGATAATAATCATACTTTATTTTTGTCTGGGCCATTTCTCCTAAAGTATAAAAGCTATGGACTTGAAACTTCATAAGATGATAGATCTCATTAAGAAGAAGTGCACTGCACAAGAACCTATACTCTGCACTTCTTTTTTAGCTCACCTTGCACATAGTGCAGGTGAGCTTTTAGGATGGCCAATCATTTGCGTCTGGCGTCCGTCCACATTTTATTCAAATGACATCTTCTATAATACCACTTGGCCAATATTAATGAAACTTAGCAGGAATACTCTTTGTATGAAGCTCTATCAAGATTGTTCAAAGAATGCCATTCCATGCTAAACTCTGGTTGCTATGGCAACTAAAAGAAAAACTTAAAAGTTCTTTTACTTCAAAATGGAAAGGGCTAGAGCTTAGATATTTCTCACAAGGCATTAGTTTGTTGGTTTCTACAAAGTATATTCAAATTATGGTCTAGAGTTGAAAATTGGTCTCTGTTTTGGGGGTTAAAGGTTTTTTTATTACAAGGTTATATAAACTTTCTTTGTAGGGATAATTTGAGATAGTGTATCTTGTATTTTTTGTCTCAACAGACATTGTTATGAAGATTTTCTGTTAAAGCATTAGAAAGATGAAAATGTTGTTGAATGTGAATGTTAATTCAAAACAGAGTCAATCAGAATTGCACAAATTTGAGAGCTTCAGTGAAGTTGATTTCCCCATTTAATAATGGATTCTTCCATTAATTTGGTAACACCATCAGAAAGGAGACTGTGTCATTTCCGAAATACAATGTAAAATATTTCGGTTCTTGACAATAACTTGCACATTTTATTGTGTAAGATATTTCACAAAGAAACGAAAGTGAACAAAAAAATGTTACATTTTTTTCACAAAAATTAGCTGATTAAGATAAAAATTTAATTTACAGTACGGACATTATTTTTACATCCTTTTGGTTTGCGGGAAAAGTCATATATTTCAAGATACCTTTTCAAGATGAATTTTTTCAATGAATGAAACTTTTATTGAAATTTATGAAAGATTTCGATGAGACAAAATTTTGTACATCTATTCTACAGTAAGGACAGAGGCAAAGTGATGTTTTGGGATACAAACGTTGCCTATGCAAATGAGTACCAAAATATTTTGGTATGCAATTTAGGTCACATATGTGGTTCGAGTTTACAATGGTTACAATATAAAATAAATATGTCATAATATTTCTTTCTTAGAACAAAGATACAATTCAAATCATTAAATAATGCATATCAATCAGTCCATTCAACAACTTTTCCTCAGAAAGCACCTGTATCAATCTGACCTCGAGTTGAGATTATACATAGAACTAAACCGGAAGTATGACAAAATGGCAGCAATGCACAAGAAAATTGAGAAATCTTTTAAAACAAAGAAGTGAAGATGAATACAATTATCGGTGTCCTTCATTGAAACAGGTATTTTGTTAACTATTTGTGAAGTATTAAGGCATGACATTCACATACATGCCATATTTCCAGCCACCCAGATAGGGAGATTTGGCTTTAAAAAGCAGGGGATTTGGACCAAAAGTAGGGGGATTTTTAAGCAAGCACAAACCAGTCGTTATCTACAAGCAAATCAAATCAAAATTTATTTTCAGTATAAATAAAACATTTCACAAAACATACGCTGTGATTCTTTGAGTTTCTATTGCCTGATCATTATTTTTTTATCTGCATCATTCCCTACTTCTTATCAACTTCAAAGACCCAATGCCGACAACAAACTCAAGGCGGGCCAGACAACAATCGATACGTCACGCATTCAGTATCAGACGCTGTCATTGGTTAAGCACCTGCAATACTGACACTGATTGACAGGTTTATCAAAGGAGAATTGTCATTCATTGATTTGTTTATTCCTTGACAGCTGAAGTGTGTCGGAGTAACCAACAATGCAATTATTCGTTAGACCGACCCCTGCTGTTTAATGGGGGAGATATTTTTTCAGGCATGTATAGTTGTAAAAGTTGTTTAAGTCTATCGTTAAATTATGTTTATTGGTAAAAATGATGCTTTAATTTTTTTGTTGGTTGAATTTTTAAAAATCAGGGGATTTATATCCCACGTTGGGAGATCAGAGACACTGTCGAAAATCGGGGGTTTTTTGTCCCCCGGCGGGGGATATGGCATGTATGCATTCAGTATTTATGTAAATATCACCTCCTGTGTTATGATTTGTAAAATTATACATGTACACATGTGATATATACCTCAATAAATGTAAGTGAAAATGGAACAATAATTATGGTAATTATCCATGGTGCTAGTAATACTTAATTATCTTTATCATATTGTTAACTAAGCAAGAAGCTTACGTAATTTAAAAATTACCTAACCTCACAATATTATCAATTTAAACTTGAAAATCTACTCAAAATGACTTCCCAAACAGTAATTTTTGAAACATGAAAATGATTCATGTAGAAAAATAACGCAAGAAAAACTGATTTGACTCATGAAAATTTTGACCAAACAGCCACGTGAAATTCTGGCCTCCCTGAGATCCCTGCTGGTTGTTGTTTTTTTGTGTTTTTTTTTAACATTTTACAAGATTAAATTTTACAATTAAACCGGTGTATAGAGCCACTTATGTGAACAGAAAGAAGTTTTTGTAGAAAGGGGTGTTCTAATATGATAAACCACAGATGCTTGGGGGTTAGATCTTGCCCCCAACATGATACCCGTGAGTAAACACTATCAAAAAATATTTTAATATTTAAACACTAATGGGATATCTGTTTCGACTATAATACTGGTTTTCAAAAAGAATTTACATTCTGCGAATTCACTTATATTCGTGGACATGAAATTTCGTGGTTTTATCAAAACGGGCATTTTCGTGGGTTCTTAAATTCGTGGATTTTCAATTTCTTGTAAAAAAAAAAAAATAATAACATAAATAACCTAATGCAAAGTAATCTTACACTTAATCGTCGCGCATTTTACTTACCACATGTACATATCTTTAGGTATCACACAGCGCTTGTCAATAAATTTAATCCTTGCCTCTGGGCATTTATTGCACAAAAATAAGCGGAAAAGACATGGCAAGAAGTATTTGTTGGGATAAAATTTCGTCAGATCTTAAATTCATGGATTGACCTACCCTTGAAAAACAGGAAAATTCGTGCACCACGAATAATAATGATTTTACAGTATATGAAAAAAAAAATACTGTTTACCATCAATAATCATGTATTGAGACTTGATTCCGGGCAGGCAGGTGAATTGGTTGGGCCATTTTTCGTAACAGTTTTCTCAGCAACTACTTATCAGAGCCTCATGATATTAAGTATACAGCATTAACACGTTGTCCTATACCATGGGATTCGATTTCAGGTCTGTCGCTCATCCACTTCATGTTTACTGACTTAGTTAAATTCATAATGATGGTCAATGGTAGGAATTTTTCGTAACAATTTTCTCAGCAACTACTTATCACAGGCATTCACAGCCTCTTGATATTTGGTATACAGCATTAACATGTAGTCACATACCATGGGATATGATTTCAGGTATGTGGCTCATCCACTTCCCGTTTGCTGACTTTCGGCATTAATTGTAAATGGAAGGAAATTTCCATAACAGTCTCAGCAACTACCGGTGATTTTTATACCCCCGCACAACGAAGTTGTAAGGGGGGTATACTGGAATCAACTTGTCCGTCCGTCCGTCTCCCCGTCCGTCCGTCAGTTTTTTTCTGTCCGCCCAATAACTTGAGATTCCTTTGGCCCACAGTCTTCATATTTGGCATGGAGGTTAGTCATGATTAGTAGATGACCCCTATTGATTTTGGGGTCACTGGGTCAAAGGTCAAGGTCACAGGGGCCTTGACTTTAAAAAGCTTGTCCGCCCAATAACTTGAGATTCCTTTGGCCCACAGTCTTCATATTTGGCATGGAGGTTAGTCATGATTAGTAGATGACCCCTATTGATTTTGAGGTCACTGGGTCAAAGTTCAAGGTCACAGGGGCCTTGACTTAAAAAAAGCTTGTCTGCCCAATAACTTGAGATTCCTTTGACCCACAGTCTTCATATTTGGCATGGAGGTTAGTCATGATTAGTAAATGACCCCTATTGATTTTGAGGTCACTGGGTCAAAGGTCAAGGTCACAGGGGCCTTGACTAAAAAAACTTGATTTTAAAATTTTCACATTTGAAGCATGGAGAATACATATCTTAGCAATGCACTGGCTTAGTAACCTCAGATTTGGCAGGGTGGTTGTCCTTGAGTTCTAAATGGCCACTGTTGATTCTGACAAAGTGGTATGCGGGGGTATTCATGCCATGACAGTGGCAGTTCTAGTTTTTCCAATTTTCAAAACAACCTGTGGCTTTCTGAAGGGGAAAATAGAGCACGATAAATCAGAAAAGGGGGAAACCGGAAATCAAATTCCAACAACTGAAAATGGAATTTACCCACACATTTTATGGGAAAAAAAATTTAATTCAGTTTAACATGCATGGTACATAGCAGAGGCTATCTGTAGGGACAGATTTTTGTCTTCTAGCTGATGGTGTTAAGTCATGGTTCTGGTAAGGAAGAGCACATTTTAGGGGAAAATATATGCATTTTTAGGGGAAAATATACCTATTTTGGGCCATGGGAAACAGCCTTTATTCGGCTGTAAAATACAGTCGAGACTGTCATATGTGACTTTCCAAGGGATCTTCAGAAAAAGGTCACATATGACAGGGAGTCTCTAAATAC